GTGGATCTAAACTGCATAGCTGGTCACAGGTTGCCTGACTGTGCAGTGGGGACGATATAAAATTAGCCATCAGATGGATTATTGTTTAAGGTTAAGTTAATCGTTGGCCCATGCTATTTATGTATCTGTAAAATAACCTTTAGTGCAAAAATCAAATGTTCAGTTGCAGTTAGTTGTCCATGTGCAACTTTTAAATCAACATGCACATATTTAGAGAGATGTGACATTGAGTTTTGGCAAGAAAACAGCAAATATGTTATATTTGTGGTTGTTTAATCGGCTATTTTGAAAAGAAGGTGCCTGTTAAAACGTATTGGTCAAGGGACAGCGATAAAACAAGGGGGGCGGTAAAAACTTGTCCAGCAACTTTGTGAGTGTCCCGTAGATTGCGCAGCATTTTGTGATTGTCATAAAAACTCTGTGTGTTGTGGTGGTTGAGAATCTTGTGTCCGGGCGCAAACAGGCCAACAGAGACAGGGAGAGGGGAGTTTGCTGAGTCTGTGAACTCTCTATAATGAACAAGCTGTTCCGCACGATTTGAAAATAATCCGCGTGTCAGTGTCATATTCTCATGTAAAGTAGCTGTGTCTTTGAAGGCGGATCTCTTGGCAGGTTAGACCGGGACGGAGGCTCCGACCAGCTCAGACGAGCGCTGCCACCAAACCAGACGCATCAGTTGGCCGCCGCTGTGTGACGGGAGGAGCATAATCCTGCTTTTTCTGGGACTCGTTTAGTTTCATTTATTTATTTTGCAGATTAGTTGTCTCGGGATCCTGGTGAGGAGAAGCCTGTGCGTAAAGGATCAGCCGCGTAAAGGACTATTTTATTTCTTTTTCTCCAAGTTGTCGCACGGACCACACATCGTTTTGCTGCGCAGGGAAAAGTGACATGAAACGCGAGGACGGGTCAGTGGATCTTCAGGGAACAAGTGAGAGACAAGTCGGAAGCCACAGTATTTGTAATTTAACCACAGCAGACTGAACTGTGTGCTGCGGGACATTGAGCAAGTACAGCTCCAACACATGCGCTCGGAAAGCATGGACCTGTGCGCACGATATTTCCAGCGAGAAAGCGTCCACGGACCATCGCGGGAAATATGTTCTTATTAAACTCTCCACACCAATAATGAGAAAGCAATCTCCTTAGTTGTGTAACTTCTCCCACGTTGATCTATCCGACACACCAACACCAGCCTGGATTCATCACAGACTTTTCAATGAGAGAATCGTGTGTTGTGGTAGTGATGAACATCCTGTCGTTTTCTTCATTAAATCAAGAAGGGAGGATGCGTTCATGTGCCAGACTGAGCCTGGTCTATGTGCTGCTCGCCCTGTGGAGCAGTGGAGCTTCAGCTATCAGCTCCATAGACCCGGACTGGTCAGGAGAGGGGAGATGTCAACACATCAACATCCCCCTGTGTAAAGACATTGGCTACAATATGACTCGCATGCCAAATCTCATGGGCCACGATGACCAAAAAGAGGCAGCGATAAAGCTGCAGGAGTTTGCAACACTGATAGAGTTTGGATGCCACAGTCATCTCAAATTTTTCCTGTGCTCGCTGCACGCTCCCATGTGCACGGAGCAGGTTTCCAACCCCATCCCAGCATGTAGAGTTATGTGTGAGCAGGTGAAGTTAAAATGCTCACCCATTTTGAAAAACTTTAACTTCCCGTGGCCCGACTCTCTGGACTGCTCCCGGCTGCCGACCAAAAATGACCCAAACAACCTCTGCATGGAGGCGCCCAACAACGGCTCAGACGAGCCCCCCAAAGTCTCCCACACCCAGCCCCCAGACTTCAGGCCGCAGCGGCCCCTGAGCAGCCACGACCTGCACCTGAAGGACAGCAGCAGCAGCAAGCAGACGTGCAGCAACCCTGGCAAGTTCCACTTTGTGGAGAAGAGCGAGTCCTGTGCCCCTAAATGCTACCCCAAAGTGGACGTATACTGGAGTCAGGGAGACAAGCAATTCTCTCTGGTGTGGATGGCCATCTGGTCCATCCTCTGCTTTGTCTCTAGTGCCTTCACTGTGCTCACATTCCTCATAGACCCACAGAGATTCAAATACCCAGAGCGGCCGATCATCTTCCTTTCCATGTCCTACTGTGTTTACTCTGTGGGCTACCTCATCCGACTTTTTGTGGGCGCTGACAGAATAGCGTGTGACAGAGACAATGGGGTGCAATATGTTATCCAGGAGGGTCTGGAGAGCACCGGCTGCACTATTGTGTTCCTCATCCTGTATTATTTTGGCATGGCCAGCTCCCTCTGGTGGGTTATCCTGACCCTCACATGGTTCCTGGCTGCGGGGAAGAAGTGGGGTCATGAGGCCATCGAGGCCAACAGCAGCTACTTCCACCTAGCGGCGTGGGCCATCCCTGCTGTGAAGACCATCATGATCCTGGTGATGAGGAAGGTGGCGGGGGACGAGCTGACGGGCATCTGCTACGTGGGCAGCATGGATGTCAAAGCTCTCACTGGCTTCGTGCTAATTCCTCTCTCCTGCTATCTTATTATTGGCACTTCTTTCCTGCTGTCGGGCTTCGTGGCCCTCTTCCACATCCGTAAGATAATGAAAACAGAGGGAGAAAACACGGACAAGCTGGAGAAGCTGATGGTTCGCATTGGGGTTTTCTCTGTGCTCTACACCGTCCCGGCCACCTGCGTCATTGCCTGCTACTTTTACGAGAGGCTCAACATGGACTACTGGCGCATCCTGGCAGTGGAGCAGAAGTGTGTGGATGGCGGCGGGCCGGAGTCAGCTGAGTGTGTCATGAAGACTTCCATCCCTGCTGTGGAGATCTTCATGGTGAAGATCTTCATGCTGCTGGTGGTGGGCATCACCAGCGGCATGTGGATCTGGACGTCAAAGACGCTGCAATCGTGGCAGAACGTGTTTAGCAGGAAGCTAAAGAAGAAGTCGAGGAGAAAGGCTGCCAGTGTGTTCACCAGCAGTAGGCCTTACATCAAACCTCACCCATCTCTCAAAGGGCACAGCACTAAGTATGAGCCTACACGGCCTCCTCCAACATGTGTATGAGCTGGCTCTCCTTGTATAAACCCCAAAAGTACTTGTTAAGCCCTTATCTAAATGAGACTTTGTAATCAGAGTGCCATCAAAAAAATCAAGGTTCGTGTTTTATTTATGCAAACTCTGTTGAAGATAATGCAATGTGGGTTTTTTTGTATCTTCAGCCATCTCGTGCAACAAGAGCTGCCTTTGTTTGAGGAAAAATCTGCTACTCCTGGATTCACTTATCCTATTGAGGACCTTGGTGGAGGAAAAAAAAATGTTATTGTTCCCAAGACAAAAAGACTGGAATAAACCATTTGGATGTGCCATTGGGTTACTTGAATAATGTGCAATAGATGTTTTCCCTACAGGCAAGAAAAAGGGACACTTGTACTGTTAGTGACAGATTACGGACAATGCAAGGACCCCGCAGACAATGGAGGCAAATGGTCAGAGAGACACTACAGAGAGTGTTGTGTTTGGAGGCTTTTTAATACAAACTGAGGCAGTGTCACACATGTTTGAACTGAAGTGAGAGCAGCTGCTGAAAAAGCGCTCGAGACGTTACAAACTGCCCATTGTGAGGCAAATCCACACCATAAATTTATCAAGCACTCATCACTGAAAAAAAGTTATTTGTACACGCTGTTGAGTTTTCATTGTTTTTTTCTTTGCTGTTTTATAGCACAAGAGAACGTTTGTATATATTTCTAAAAAAAAAGAAAGCTGAGATTTTATAGAAAAATTAATAAAACGTTCTAGTTTTAAATGTTTGTAAAGTCGGATTTTTGTATTGCAACTGTATTGTTATTCTCTCTACTGGATTGAGTCACCGTCCTCGCAAAGCAGCGATAAGATTTTTAATGCAATTACATCCTTCGTTATTATATGCTGACAGTGTGAAGCAGTAATTTTCATGCAACACATGAATCAACATCAGTGTTCTTGATTTGTGAATGTGATGGTATGTTGGAGCTGGATTTAGAATAATTCGTCTTTAGGAATAATTGATTTAGACAACATTGTGTGACCAAAAGTCAGAAGGAGAAACATTTTAATATAAATACTATGATAATAACTGAGTGGTTGCAAGAGCAGATTAGATAGTCCATAAATGTTGCACTCACACGTCTCTGGAAACCAAATTGCCCTTTTACATCTCATAAAAGATAAATAATTTTACCTGACTTTGCAGAAATTAACTGGTACACAAGTCAACACAAAGCATAACAGTCACAACTCTATTCTAGTTTTTAAATACTGTATTCATAAAGAAACAATGGGACATTTTTCCGTTTACCACGTTTTATGTGGTGTCACCATACACAGCAACGGTCTTTCATTCGCTGCATGTGTGCTGTATAATAAGGTAACAATGGGATTTGTGTGCATAGTTTCAGATTTATTCAGTGTTTTTATTATAAAATTAGCTGTAGTCTTATATTTTAATATATTTGCTTCACCAAGAAAAAACAAGCAAATTATAAATTTTTACTTGGCTCACAGATACTTAGATTTTGTGATTTATTGCTGTTTTATC